AAATGTCGCCTCTGACCAGGGAGAACAATGGTGGTGATTGAACCCCTCCGGTGGAGGCGAAGTAACATAAGTGTGTAACTGAAGGAGAAGCAGGAGGAGGAGGGTTGAGGAAGAGAAGAGGATATGTAAAACGAGGTAAGACGACTGAGCGAAGTATGAAGCAATGGACTTAGTTGGAGGGTATATGCATTTCTACCAAAGGTCAGAATTGAATGTCTGAGAACGATGCTGTTTACTACGTATTTGCTTACGTCCATTCGTGGATTCATGCTTATACCCACCTACGAAACTACCTACCTTCCTAGCAATACGAATGCTAAAAAAATAAAACAAATCACTTAGTTGAAGGAAATATGCATGTTTGTCAAACGGTGCGCATAAGGAGGCTCCTCCTAATTGTCTCCACATATGTCGAAATGACTGGACTAAATTTGGGCTAATATTGAAATGTTGAATGGACATGAATGCGGAGGGAAAGCAGGAAGGATAGAAGCCGGAAGAGAAGGAGGAAGTGGTAGCATAACTTACCCTTAATTACTACGATTTCCACTTGTTCTACTGGTTTGGATCTCCTGACGCCTCTGGAATGGGGGATCGGGAGGTTGGAAGCGACGTGGAGATGGCGAGGGAGAGGAAGGCGGTGGAAGTGGAGGACGAGAAGGAGCCCGGTAACGAAGATGAACCGAAGCGGCAGGGGGGCTTTGAAGACGAACTGGGTGGTAGGAATGACGATAATGCGCAGAAGCTCGAGAATTAGTGAAAAGAACTGGAACGCGTAGTTCCGCAGGTCTGGTGGTTGGTTGTGTGATTTTACTTCCTCGCATCAGCTGACACTTCTGTGAACCGATTGGTGACACGTGTAGCACAGTGTCTCGTGTTGCAGTGTGGTGTCAACTCCGGACAGCATTCCTGGTCGATAATTCCGTGAATGTGGAAAAGCTTTTGGTCTTTTTTGTATGGAAATGAGGGAATCCTGCATGGTTCCATAGCATTTGGACAGGATTGTTCCAATTTAAATTTATGTTGTCGCCTAATTTAATAGTGGATCGAATACCATGATCAGGACTTGAGGTTTATAGGTTGAAGTAGGGAACACATCACCTTCTGGGTGCTGCACGGAAAACGAAATAACGAACCTCCTGATCGGGACCGTGCCCATTGATTTCACCTCGAATTTGCTCTAGGCAGACGACAGTAAGGCGCCAAAATAATTGCCTCCATGTGC